CCCCTCCAGCTTCCAGAGCGGTCCATTGTAGTTTGATAGAGGGGTTTACAACAATAGTGTTACAAATTAATTTAAAATATGTCAACAATGGAAGACTTGTCCACCCAGCCTTACATGTTGAAGCCAGAGTCTGATCCAAAGCAAAAGTAGAATGTATAAAATTGTAATTGGTTAGTGCAAAGTTCTGTCACAAATACTGTGACATACTACTTCAAAAAACTGTATAACCCAAACAAAATATGAATATATTTATGCAGCACCGGCAGAGACTAAATTTCAACTGTTGGCACTCCTAGAGACTCCACGTACAAAACAAAATGTATAATACCTAAAAATATGGGAATTTTGTTTGATATGTCCCCAATGAGATACACAGAAAATAAAGGCCTAACATTCCTTGAATAATATATATCACTCACCTCTTTATATACCAGAATTTTTAACTGAAGAGATCCTATGCAAACATGGGATGCACATTGTAAATGTAAATGATGAGCAATATAGTGATATTGTGAAATCTTATGCGATATGATTCCGCTTTAAATACAGTATGACTCGTAGCTATCACACCAAATTTAGCCCATTGTCTGTACATATGACTGAGTTACGGCCAATTTTTGCCTTAGTTGATATTGATAAGCTATGTTTTAATAAAATCTGTTCAGTGGTTCATGAGGTGATTATTTTGCTAACATATAAACAGTGTTGAAGTGTTAATGTCAAAGTTTAAAACTAAAATTTTAGGAGTAATCCTCAGCCACTACCAAACCAAATTTTAGCACATTTGTCAAACCAGCTGAAGTAAAAATGCAATATCAAAACTTGTTTGTATTTGATCTGCCTTCAAAGACAGAAAGTAAACCAAGCAGTTTTATACATTTTTGATTGAAAACTAGTTTTCCAGGTTGTTGAAAGAGAAGACTGAAAACAAATGTGAATCGGAGCATACAGTCACTTTACAACACGCTGTTGCTTTCCGGTGGTCTTTTTTTATATATATATTTGAGGTTGCACTCTTAACTTGAAGAAGAAAAAKATCAAATAATAACCATTCTGAAATCCCTACCACTTATTTCAAAATTTTATCACATATAGAAGAAAAAAATCCTGCTTTGAAGTGAAGAGAGTCAAGGGCGACTCAAGCAGATGCTTCTTTGCATTTTTAATGCAGAAGGYGGTGAGGACCACCATAGCAATACAGTTTCTCTCTAACTTTAAACAGCATACAGTTTGACTTTTACAGCCTTCTATGCAGCATTATTCATTACCATAAACTTCCACTGATAATTCAGACTTTATTTTTTATGTGTTAATTCCCATCATAAGTCTAGKTTCTCTTTCTTTCAGCCATAAAACAGATAGCTTGATTTAGCTTAGAGTCTAGCACAAATTCAAATTTGTGTTTACAAAAATAATTTAGAATACTAAACTGAAACATTTTGTTTTTCATAGCCCTGAAGCCAGTTGCTGGCCATCAAACTTTCATTCATACTGAAAATATCCAAGGTTGATGATGA